GCGGGGGGGGGGGGGCGTAGAAAGCGCATGCCCAACACGTGATCTGATTTGAATGTCACTAAGTGTCCTCATGAATATAGGTTCATAAAATACGCTTTTTCTCAGTTTATCTTCAAATTGTCTGCAAATTGTCACTGGTTAATAATGTATCTGTATTCACCAACCAGCATGTTTTAACTTCTTAGCTTGAATGATTACCAGTTTTTTAAATTTTATTTTTTAGTTGGCCGGTCGCTTGAAGGCTCAAGCAGCAAGTCATTTAGAAGAAGCCTCACCGGCCGGTGTCGCAGCAATGGCAGCTAGCGGCACCGCAGCCGTACTGTTACCCACTACTGCACACCTACTTCGTCTACGGCCTCCTCCAGCGCGTGCTATTCTGCAGGCAGGAGTGCCCGTGGCTCTAGGAAGCGATTTCAATCCAAATGCATTCTGTCTTTCCATGGTAAGTTCTGTTCTCGTGATATAGAAATCAGACGCTGATAACCGATTGCATATGATACAAGTTGATCTACGTTTTTCAATCATAATTTTCTTCTCCCCTTTTTACAAGCGGCCTAATGTCATCGTTTTCACGTCTTGTTTTTCATTTATGTGGTGTATTGACAATGCTACAATGAGCAACTCCGAAGTTTGACCTTTGAACTTATGGAGGCTATTGCTCACACTCATCATTCGCATTCATCATTTTCCCGCAATCACGTTTTTGTTAATTCTGCGGTCTAATATCTATGACATCCCGAATACTATGACGAAACTCTATAGAACGATAGTTAGTGATGTGTTATGGCGATGTTTTGTACACCTCTTGTTTCACTTTTGCACATTACGTGAATAGCTTATGCACCTGTAAATTGTACTGACAGTTCTCTCTCGGTCGAAGATTTTATCGTTAGGTGTGTTCGCTTTCGTTTGGTGCGAACAACGCAAGAACAATGACATTCTCTTTTCTATATCCTCTTGTTTTCAATTCGGTGAGTCAGTCTCGGAAGCAATTGGTTGCTTTAAGCAATCCGATTACTTACTTACTTTGCTACGGCTGGCTCCTTGGAGGGGATAAGCCAGCTCCATGAATGTCTCTGATCACCGCCGCCCATGCTTGGCGATTGGCTGCAAAATCCTTGCACATGTCGATCCAGTTGGTTTTCCGTCGGCGACTGCCGTACACCAGCCAAATGCTGTTAGTCGACGTCTTCGATTACACTGTCAAAACGGGTTTTTACTTGCCCCTCCCCTGCTCATCGGTGGCGCCAGCCGGGACAAGGTGACGGTGTCAAGGCAATACTAGTAAATGTGCCGTCTGGTCTGCGGAGAACATTGTAGTCAGTGGCGTTGAGTGTGCTTTGAAAAACGGGCAATGTGACAGCGATTTCTGAGGTCCGAGTTTGAGACTGTCCCGCCAGTTCACCTTTAGGATGAATCTAAGACACTAGTGATCAGAGACCTCCAATCCCCTGATGTCCTCAGTTCTCAGCGGCCAGGTTTCGCAGCCCTGTAATAGGACTGGTCAGGCTGCTGTGGCAAACACCCTAGAGCTTGGTTTTGAGACTGATCTCGTTCCGGTGCATAGGGTGGTTTGGAGCTGCAGGAAGGCCGTCCGGGCCGTTTCGATGCGCCGATTTACATCATTTTTGGCTTGTCCATTGGACAGGATGGTTGACCCAATGTACTTGAAGTTCGATAGAATTTCTATCATCCGGCCACCCAGTGACAGAGGATGTTCCGCTTGATCAGGTGGAGTAACGAACATCTTAGTTTTGTTAGGATTAATCTTAAGGCCGGCCTCAGAGGCAAATCTTTTAACACCGTTGAGGGCTGTTTTCAAGGTGGTTAGGTCCGCTCTAGGCACTGCCACGTCATCGGCGGATACGTGGTCAGTAATCCAGAAATTTGCCGAAACTTGTATGCTTCGGTAACCCTCCATTGCCCGACGCAGAATCGAATCAACAACGAAGTTGAACAACACTGGCGATAGCTGGCATCCTTGTCTTACTCTTGACCTCAGATCAGAGGGATGAGACTGTTTGCCGTAGGCACGGATACGGGCTTTGGTTCGGGTGTTGTACGATCTCACTATAATAATCAACTTTGCTGTAAGCACTATCTTCCACAGTGATTCGCGGTCCACTGAGCCGAATGCGGCGCGAAAGTCAATGAAGCATGTTGCGGTGGGGCGCTGAAACATGCATCGGTGTTCCAGAATTCGCCTTAGGGTGAAAATCTGATCGATTACATCCTTTGCCGGGTTGGAAGCCTCCTTGATTTGGCCGAGTACGTGCATGCCTCATTGTAGCAAAACGATTAAGCACAAGCTTGGCAAACGCTTTTGCAAGCACGTCTAGCAGACTGATGCCCCGATAATTCTCGAATAGTGTCTTGTCACCCTTCTTGGGTAACGGAAGATAAACCGAGGTGTTCCAATCAGTTGGGCATGTTTCGGTCTTCCGAATCAAGCGAACAAGAGAGTGAAGCGCTTTAATGACCACCGGAAGGCATTTCTTATATATTTCTGCCGGGATTCCGTCTTCACCAAGGGCCTTGCCAGACTTCAAGCGAACAATCACTGCGAACATTTCATCCACGGATGGAGGATCACAGTCGACCTCGTGTGGGGACGACAAATCGCGATGAATATCCGTCGGATTGCCCAACGGATGACTGAGAAGTTGACTAAAATGTTCTGCCCATCTGGTCATTCTACCGTCGATATCGGAGATCAGTCCCTCGGCCGAGTGGCGCAGAACGGGTTGTAAAGATTGTCTTCTACCGGACGAAACAGGTTTCCAAAGTGGCATACACGGGCTGCGGTTTCCATTTTAATCGCTATTTTGCTCCAGTAGTTGTGTCGATTTGTTCTTGCGGAGCGGGTTGCTTTGCGTTTGAGTCTCTGGTAATCGTGGTGCCCAGCTAGACGGGTGTCCCTGACCAGGATTTATAGACTGATGGTTTCTTCTGACATCCAATCTTTGTAGCAGCGTTTGTTGGTACCTAGTTTGTTTAGTGCAGCTTTTATCGTGGACCACTGCACATCAGTGGAGTCTGCTACGTTGACGAGTGGGGCAGACTCTTTTTCCAGTTTCTAAATATATTTCATTCATCTATATTTTCGATTTTTAGCTACACTCTAATGGGCCCATGTTGATGCGACTTGAAGGGGTGGTCTTAACAAGAGCAGTCAGCCAACGGCGAAGGTTTGCACGAAAGTGCATGTGATCAGAGCCACCTATGTTACCAGCTTCGGCACCGCGATACGATCTAAAATCTTCTGATGAGATCCAGCGTAACCGTATCAGTATAAAATCAGTCTGGTGGACTGTTGTTCCGTTATCCGATTGGAGTTAATTTATTCGATTCCACTAAATAGAACACTCCCTCCCTGGTGTAATTCTGACAGAATGCCTATGAGGGCAAAGCACAACAACGCTAGATTGCACGATTTATACTAGAGCAGATCTCAGTGCATCTCAATTGGTACAATACAACATAAATCACGCAACCTAGCTCTCTTAAAATTTATCTCGGGAAATAAATATTTCACAATACCTTTGTCGGTTTTCTATTTGATCGCGTTTCATTTCAAACCACTCACTTTATTCCTTCCTTTTCTACTGACTGTAATATTGCACAAGAAGTGGGAAGCGGCCAATCATAGGACTGCCGTCTATTACGCAAAACTAATCAAACTATATTCGAGAGGGACTCGCGTTGTGCAGAGAAAGAAACGCATACTCCTCTTTGTTATTTTTAAACTGGGGCGGCGGATAATGGGGTGCGAAGAATTCTCAGCTAGTTCGCTTGTGATAAGAGTGGCATAAAGTAGAAGTAAGGTAGTTAGATAACTTGATCTTACTGTGTCGTATTTTCATTTGGTAAATTGATGAGAATATGTTTTCTGTTTTCCTTACGACAAGATGTCCAATTAAGGTATCGACCGTAGACCAAGACTAATAGCTTCGCTCTCCTCTCCCGCAAACTCCCAAGTTTGGGGGACAGAAAACTAAACAGGGGGCATTTCGGGCGAACCCAAGCTGGCCGGTGTTCTTTGTTGGCAACTGCACACACGAAATTTAATAGAATTAACAGCACACTAGAAACTCTGAGAGAGACAGCGAAAGAGACAGATCTGCGTATGAAAACAAGGTCTAAACCCCCGAGTGTTTGTGACCTCGCATGGGCAGTTTTTTTTTGATAGAACTCACTGGGTCGGTTTAAAACAGTAATCAGAGCTCTAGGAACCAACCATCCAACACCAAAACACTTATCTTAATTTCCGATATCACTATTTTTGAGCTATCCATCGGGCATTAAATGGAAAATCGGGAATTAACAATGCTCGTGCGTCCATTGGTCGGTCACCGATCACTCGGAGTTCCCTGGTTCGCTAAACACCGATCACCATGACATGCTTTTTTAAAATTTACTTCCTTTTATTGAATACATAATAATACAGTTTTCAGGAAGAGGGAGGCAGCCAATCAATGGCTACGATACAACACAGTGAGAAAGTCAGGCGGTGGCGGTGGGATTCGAACACACACGTTCTCTGGAGCGATCATTTGGTGGCCTTACCACAGCCACCATCACCGGTTTACAGTGCATGAAACTCTGTCCCGTTCCCGAAATTCTTTTTTTAATTGTTACTCAAACATTTCCTTCATGACATTAAACGATTTATACCAAAATAAAAAACATTGCTAAGAGAGAACTTTTTAAGAGAAAAAGAGATTATTCCCATCTTCACTTTCCACCAGGGCAAGTGTATACTTTAGTGACAAACTGCACTCGGTTGGGGACCGCGAGAATTTTCGATGCGCTCGTTTTAATTGGATTGGTTACATGTGAATGCCGCAATGGAAATAGCCCCAAGCAATAAAGACTGACATTGAATCCAAAGACTGGTTGATACGAATGCACTTTTTATCCACACCGCTGTGAGTACCGTTCCCCCATGGTGCACAGTTTACATAGCCATATTCTTCTTGTATTTCTGATGTAAACCGTTAACTGACAAATCAAAACTCGGTCACAAATCTACGAAATCAAACCAGTCAACCAATGGATGGGGAGCAAAACAACTTTGGTTTCATTGGCATCGGTGCTGCCACGTGAATTGTGCAACTCATATTCAAGAAATCATGAACACTGGTTTTCGCCACGTATCGCAGTGATCTTTTACTGGTCACTTGCGTTGTATAACATTGCTCGTGTAAACAGAAAAGCCTACATATCAGTTAAAAGGTCTCCGTACACCAACCAATAGACGAGAGAAAAAAACACGTTTCATTCACCGAGATCGGTGTTTAAGCGGTTATCATCTCACTAACCGCGAGGTCGATAGTTCGAATACTACCATCCATGTTCAACTTATCCCTTCCTACGTGTGCCCCCAGGGAACGTCTCAATGTCAAAAGCTCATCGCTTTCCTGCACGTGCCCTTATATACATTCAATTAAAGGAAGTAAACGAGATTATTATTATTATTATTATTATTATTATTATTATCCTCTCATAATATTAATTTGTTTTCCAAGATGGAGTTCATTTGTTACTTCTTCCCACTCTCTGTGTTGAGTGCAGTTGAGAGGTAGGGCACGAGGGCCTTTGGTAAACATTTACACTATAGATAAACTCAAAGCGCCTGAAGGGACGAGAAGAGCGCATAGGATCTGAACTAATTCGTTGAATCAAATTAGCCGGTCAGGTTTTTTTAAACACACATTTGTGTGATGAACAGCAGACGGGGCGAATCCCATAGTCACGAAAACCTGCTGCTTTGTCATGGAAACCAGTAACCTAAGTCGCAGGACTTGTAGTGGCGAACCATATAAGGCCCCATTAGGTTAAGTGTAGTACTGAACCGGATGATAGCACAGCTGGGTGGCGGTGGCGGGGCTCGAATCTCGATCCACAGGGTTCAAAGTACGCTAGTGACAGCGACTAAACCACTGTGCTACCACCACAGCTTGTGAGATCAACCATTCAACCGTTTTCGAACTTTGGCTGAAGTCCCATTGACAAGTTCTTTATCTCTCCCCCCACCCCCGCCCCACCTCCTTACTCCGATCAACCCTGTCTAGCCAATTGTGATGTATCTGGCCTGTACCATGCTGAACATGACCCCAGACGAAGCGCTAGTCGCGTCCACAATCAATTCCGCATATAGCCTTAATATGTCCGATCGTGTGGGTGCGATCACTGTGGGACGACAAGCGGACTTGGTGGTGCTGGACTGTGATAGGTGAGTCGGTCCCGTTTTTTCTTTCTCGGTCTGTGAATCTTCTTGTAGCCGCATTGGGGAAAGGCCGAGTGATAACGTGCAGTCGTTGAGGTTATAATTATTTTCATGCAACCTGGTTGGAATTCGGATTCCGTTTGTGGTGTTTCTTTGTTCAAGACGCGCATACATGAAACAAGTGCTTAGCACGGTTCAGATCAATGAGAAATCGGTGGGTGTGCGTACTGTTAGTTCCCAAGAACCAGATTTCCAGTGCTTCTCAAGATTCTCAGTCGTCAGTGGCTTGTTGATTGTGCATAACTACTCCTGTATGATGCACTCTGATGACCAATGGACAATAAAAATCGATAATAAAATAAAAACGGTTCAGTAAGCTGCTCTCATCTGGGAAGTTTCACGCTTCTCAGTAGGCACAGATATATGGGACTCGAAGGAGCGTCTTGTTTCCTGCTCCGGTGAGAAATGTCTTCTCCGGTTTGGTTCTCCATGATCAAAATTGACGATAATTGTTACCCCAAGATTCTTCCATTGCTCTGCCCTCTGTATGTCTATACTTGAAGTGTCAACTCATTTTCGATCTCAATACAGCCCCAAGGATGCCAGCCAGCCAATGCGTGCTTGGTTTATTCCCATCTAACTATTTATTGAAGAATTATCTTTTGATTTGAATTGGAATCCATTTCTGACCCCGTAGATTTGTGTTAAGTCAGCCAGAACCTGTATGAAATTCCTGACCTAATGAGAAGCTTTCGGATAGAGTTAAAAGATAGTCATTTGGGTCTCCTTTGGTTTCTCTCTCTCTCGGATCAACTGACCGATTGGATATCATTTTGAAGAAGATATGTGGACACACATGATTTGGTTATTATGGCTAGCCCCACAGTGAGCCGGTTGGCACAGTGCCAACACACGCACACACACGTTCCATACGATGGGTCCGGATTTCAAAGCCCCGGACTGGAAGGTGAATATGCACTCCCGAAGACGAACTCCAATAAGAGCGAAACACGAGTCTATAGTGCTTACCGGTTGACTGGAAGAAGTGAGGATGGAATCAGTCCAAAATCAGTACCCTATTTTATGCACCCCTCCCCCCCCAAAAAAAAAAAATTATTATGAGTTGAATGAGAACATCCAATGTATACCAAAATTCTCTGATCATTTTGACCTAGCGCTGATACTGGGCTGCTAATAATGTCGATCTTTAACCATTTTGGAACTAATGAGTGCGCTATGACAGTTCGCATGGCAGTGAGAGCTCATCTTGAACATGTATGTCAATTATATAAATAATAATAATAATATGAAAATAATATAAATATAGATATAATATATATAATATTATATAATATGTAATATAAAAATTAATAAAATTATTATAATTATAATTCATAGAACATATGATGTTATCAATTTGGTGTCTGCCGTGTGTCATTATCACCTCCATTGACAATGGCGTTTTACTAACAAATACACAGAGCTGTTCTATTTCCACTATTGTTCTTTTGTTGTTCGCTAAGCGCCCAACTGAACGGTGCATGATGGGGAATAGAAGAATAGAACAAATGCCCCAAACGACACACGGTTTCAGTTTGTACGACCATTATCCATGCAATTTCGTGCGCCGGGTTTGGTTGCTCTCTTTTGGTGCCTGAACAGTGGAAGCAAGACAGAAGTTTGAGAGTAGAGTTGAACAGAAAATGGAGAATTTCAGTGGATTAAGGTTGCAAAGAAATTCAGAAAATGCACGGGCGCCATTGCTTATGACACTCAACCATATCACTCAATGTCTCTAACCACCGATTACGAACATCCTGATGTCTCCAGCCGGGGAGCCTAACGCGACTTTTGTGGCCGAGTCTCCTGGTTGCGGGTCTTGGTTTGACCGCCGTTGGCCTTATTCCACCCAATATCTGCCTCGGCAAACATCACCCACCGTGGCATCCTCTTTGGTGACATGCGTACCACATACCCCAACCGACGTAATATAAGGAGGTCGATCACTTGTTCCAGTGGGCGACCGCGGTTACCCAGAACTCTGCGCCTAGTCTCAGCATTGCTTGTCCGGTTGTCCCACCAGATTCGTGCAATCCTGCGTTGACAGCGGTGTTCAAACACGGACAGTCTATCTTTATCCTGTTTTCTCAATGGCCGTGATGCGCCCACCAGGTGAGACGTAGCTTCCTAGATAACAAAACTTATCCACTTGCTTACTTTCCCAGTTAAAGTGAGCCTGGGTGATGAACCAACACATTCTTTGAGCAACGTTTTACACTTTAAAGGTGAAAAACGCGTACCGAACGCTACGCTACGCTGGCACTCAAGCTATCAAAAAAGGACTGCAACCTATCTGGATCTTCGCTTAGCAATGCAATGTCATCAGCATACTCTAAATCACATAGTCTACCATCTGGAAGCAAATCAATGCCACTATCCTCGCCCGAGGATAGGGCTGTTTCCATAATCAAATCTATAACAAGTTTAATATAAAAGGAAAGAAAGGGCAACCCTGACAGACACCACTTTCCGTGGTGAACTCAGACGAAAACGTCCCCCAAACCCGGACTCGACTTCGACTATCAGTATAAAGCGATCGCGATATTGAAATAAGCTTCTCGGGTACAGCCTTCAGGAAAAAGCAGCGCCAAAGTTTAGAGAGGTCGACTGAGTTGAAAGCTGCTTTCAGATCTAGGAAGACAGAGATGGTGGGTATACGAAAAGAATGTCGGTGTTCCAGAGTTTGGCGGAGAGTGAAGATGTGGTCGATACAACCTTGACCAGGTCTAAAACCAGCCTGGTTCTCACGGGTGCACCGTCCACCTGCGCCAGACAATCGACGGAGTATGACCCCAGCGAGCAGTTTAGAGACAATGTTGATTAAACTAATTCCTCTGTGGTTTTCACAAGAGGATTTGTCACTCTTCTTGTGGATCGGTAAGATGACCGATTCACACCATTC